CTTCTTCTCCTGCAAAAGGGGCATATTAATTAATTTATTAATGCTAAATTAATTAGTTAGATTAATAGTAAAATATGAAAAAATACAAATATTGCAGTCTCAACAATGTCTTTGGAGTAAGGAAGGTTGAAATGAATGTTCAAATAGTGGAAGGCAGTGACATGCCTCCTCTCCAATTTGTTTTGCTGAAATTCCTGTCCTTACTCCTCAAAGTCTGGCTTTGACTCTCCTCCCCAGGTCTCCTGAGAGTTTATTCCCATTGGAGATGCTTATCCTCTTCCCCTAGTTGCTTAGTGGCAAAGTACACAGTTTTAGACCCTTAATACTTCCTTCTTTCTGCAGCTCCAGGCGCCTGCCATCCCCCTCTAAACCAGGGACCATTTCCAGAGGAATGTCAGACTGCAGCTCAGACCCAGGGGATTTGGGCCAGAGGATAATTGAAGTCCCTTTCTTTGAACTGCCTGTTGGGATGGGTGTCAGTTCCTTTGTGCCCTGGGCCTAGAGCTGCTGCCTTTAACCTTGGGGTGGGGTTTCTTCCCTTCCCTACCCTAAGCTGCCTTTAAATCCCAAAATTGGAGAGCAGAAGTCATCACCATTCTGGCTCCCTTCTGGGTGGCCCTGGACAGATTACTGAGATTCCCCAGAGCTTCAGTTTCTCCACCATAAAATAATGGGAATAATTCTCTACCAGGAAAAAAAAATCAGGAAGAGTTTTGACAATAGTCCTATGAGCTGATGATGGTTATGCAATTTCTTGCACCTGCAGTGGTCTCTGCTTAGCACTGAATAAAGACACAATCTGGGGACTCTTGAAAAGAAAGCTAAGAGAAACCCTTGAAAAACAAGTCCTGACTCAGTTGGTGACAATAGCTGTGGGATAAGAAAATGTTCTGAAGCAGACGCGCATTTTTTATCCTGCCATCTGCACTCTGGGCCTGCTGCCAGGGTTATTTGACACAATGCATCAGTATGCTTTCATTGAAAAGCACTTTGTAAGCAGCTTTCTGGTCTACTCTTGCTTTTAAATTTTGATTTGGGATAACCCAAGTTCAAATCCACGCCATGTTGTTGAAGTTCAGTGACTTCTGGAGTAGATTTGTTTTCAAATTAATTACCCCGTAGGTAGGCCCACCAGCTTGCTCTCCTATTGCACATGGTCTGCACCTTCCTCCACACTTACAGGGTCTTCTGGGGAGTGTCTAGGAGATGCTTTGGTGGAAGACTGTGGCTTTGCTTACAGATGTGATGGTTCATGGGAGGCTCCTCATGACTATGGAGTTAGTGACCAAATACCAACACAGGAAAAGAGACCATTTAATTCATTCTAGGTTCTCTTCTGACTTGTGCCCCAGATTGTGGAAAAGCTGGGAATATTTTAGGGTTTTTTATTTATTTGATTGAGACTTTGACCAAGACTGAAATTTTGAACTGGGCATGATGGTGTATACCTGTAGTCCCAGCACTTGGGAGGTTGAGGTGAGAGGACTGCTTGAGCCCAGAAGTTCAAGATCAGCCTGGGCAACACCACAAGATTCCAAAAAAAAAAAAAAAAAAAAAGTGCCTAGCATGCATGAGGCTTCAGGTTCAATCCCCAGCACTAAAAGTGAGAAAGAAAAAAAAGATGGAGTTCTTTTGGGAATGTAGGTCAGTAGTAGAGTGCCTGCCTAGCATGCACAAGGGTCCTAGGTTTGCTAAACAGGAAAGAAAGAAAGAAGGGGGGGGGAGGGAAGAAAGAGAAAGAAAAAGAGAAGAAAGGAGGGAGGGTGGGTTTTTTCTGATTATAAAAATGACAAATTTAGTGTAATGCATTTCATAGAATATGAAATGGATAAACAGTGAAAGTGTCCCAAGTGCTATTCTTTTTTGGGAGGCAATGTACTAGGGATTGAACTCAGGGGCACTGAACCACTGAGCCACATCCTCAGTCCTATTTTGTATTTTATTTAGAGACAGGGTCTCACTGAGTTGCTTAGTGCCTCACCTTTGCTGAGTCTGGTTTTGAACTTGGGATCCTCCTGTCTCAGTCTTCCAAGCTGCTGGGATTACAGGTGTGCACCACCTCACCTGGCCCAAATGCTATTTTTTTAAATTTTATTTATTTATTCATTTTAGTTATTGATGGACCTTGATTTTTTTATTTATATATGGTGCTGAGAATCGAACCCAGTGCCTCACACATTCGAGGCAAGTGCTTTACCACTGAGCCACAACCCCAGCCCCCAAATGTTATTCTTGTAAGCAAATAGAAATGTCTTGTGTTGCCTCTCTAGTGTTCCATATAATGCTTTCTTTGTGTTTTTTTTTCTTTCTTTTCTTTTTTTTTTTTTTCTCTTTTCTTTCAATCTGAGCAACTGAGGATCCTGGAAAGATTTTTGAAAATTATCTGCCTCTCCCTATTTGCCCTTCTGTGTACTTGGCCCATAGATACCCTCCCCACCTTTTTTATTGATTTATAGTATTGGGGTTCTAACCCAGGAGCACTTTACCACTGAGCCACATCCCCAGCCCTTTTTAAATTTTATGTATTTATTTGTTTGTTTGTTTTTTGGTCGTGGTAGTGCTGGGGATTGAACCCAGGGCCTTGTACATGCTAGGCAAGCACTCCACTGACCGAGCTATATCCCCAGCCCCACCCCCCTTTTAAAATTTTTTTGTAGTTTATTTATTTATTTTTATGTGGTACTAAGGTTCGAACCCAGGGCCTCGCATGTGCATGGCAAGCACTCTGGCCCCGAGCTACCGCCCCAGCCCCCCCAGCCCCTTTTTAATTTTGAGACAGGGTCTTGCTAAGTTGCTTCAGATGGGCTCAAATTTGCGAATCCCCTATTTCAACCTCCCGAGTCCCTGGGATTACAGGCATGCACCTTGGCACCTGGTCCTCACCACCCTCTTAACCTCCTCCGGCAGGGATTCTTCTTATTTTCTCTTTCTTCTTCTCCGCTCAGGCTGTGTATAAGATGGCAGATGTAGCCTGCAAATGCCATGGCGTCTCAGGGTCCTGCAGCCTCAAGACCTGCTGGCTCCAGCTGGCTGAGTTCCGCAAGGTGGGGGACCAGCTGAAGGAGAAGTACGACAGCGCGGCTGCCATGCGCATCACCCGAAAGGGCAAGCTGGAGCTGGTCAACAGCCGCTTCAACCAGCCCACCCCAGAGGACCTTGTCTACGTAGACCCCAGCCCTGACTACTGCCTCCGCAATGAGACCACGGGCTCCCTGGGCACCCAGGGCCGCCTCTGCAACAAGACCTCGGAGGGCATGGACGGCTGTGAGCTCATGTGCTGTGGCCGTGGCTATGACCAGTTCAAGAGCGTCCAGGTGGAGCGCTGTCACTGCAAGTTCCACTGGTGCTGCTTTGTCAAGTGCAAAAAATGCACGGAGATTGTCGACCAGTATGTCTGTAAATAACCCGGGAGGGTCCTGCTCTCCCGACCCTCTCCTCCACTCTGCCTCACAAAAGTCTATATTATATAAATCTATATAAATATATTTTATATTTGTATAAATAAATGGATGGATGATAAATAATTAAAAGAAGAAAATGGAGAGGAAAAGCTTATTTAAGAGACGCTAGCAATCTTTGAGGAGTGGGCTTTGCTGGTTCTCTGCTCCCAGTGGGGGAGAGAACTGGCTTCTTTCCCTCCCTCTGGTGAGGACTCTCAGGATGTAGGTTCACGGAAATATTTACTGTCTATCCGTCATGGCCTTGAGGAAAGAAGCAATGGTTAGATGGAGGAGATCCTGTCTGGAAATCTGGAGCCTCTTGGGTATATAAGTGCCCCGTTACCCCAGCCACAAGGCCAAAAGGCCCTGTGGAAGGTGACAGGACCTCAGCATAAATCCTGATGGCTTCAGGGTCTTGCCCAGAATATAAATTGGTTCTGTAAGGGGCCCAGTGCTTTCTTACTTTCCTATCAGTATGCACACATAAGAATCCACATTTGCAAGACTGACTTCCTCTCTACGGAAGAGAGGTCTGATGTCACTTGGACCTTAGTGACCACAAAGGAATCTGCACCTCTTGAGAGCCCTTGGGGCCTGTCTTTCCAGCAAGAATCATTCTTCCTCCACAGTTCACTAGCTCCTGCTATGAATTTCTGTCCCAGGAGGAAAGGGGGTCATGTGACCTGCCATGTCTGGAGAGACATTAACTGAGTCTTTATGCCTGGGCTACGGAAACCCAGGTGCAACATGGGACCCAGCAAACCTTGCACAGTCCTCCCTCACAGGGAGAGAAAACTTGTACTGCTGCTGCTGTCATCCATCAAGGGAGGCCTCATGGACAACAGGACATGTGGGCAGGTCAGGCCCGGATGGCCTGGCACGCTGACTTCATCTCTGCCCAGATGTACAGTTTCCCTCTGACATTAAATATCCTTCACCGAGGTTTCTCTCCCTCTCCTTATTTGGACACACAATTATCTTTCATGAGTTTCCTTTTATATTTTATTTTATTTTGGGTGCTAGGATGGAACCCCAGCCCCTTGTGCATGCTAGGCAAGTGTGCTACCACTGAGCCATACTCCCAGCCCAAGATAGGTCATTTCTTAAGAGATTAATGTTACCCTTATTTCTCTGATTATTGCTTTTCTCACTATTTTGTGCAAATCTCTTCCAATGGTATGGTTCAATGTCATTTTTTCTTTCTTTCTCTCTCTCTCTCTCTTTTTTCTTTTTCTGTGGTGTTGGGGATCTACCACAGGGCCATATGCATGCTAGGCAAGGGCTGTACCAATGAGCAGCACCCCCCATCTTCTTTGAGTTTTGATTTGAGTTTTAAAACCCTGCTGCATTGTGAAAGAGGGTAAGGAAATTGAGACTTTTTAGAATTCTAGTCTGGCGATTGTAGAGAGGGAGAGTATTGTGAGAATTAAATAAGGTACTACATTAAAGGACTCTCCCCCAGGGCTAGCACAAAGGTAAACAATCAATGGTAGCCATTACTGTTACTGTTATGAACAAAAGAATTCTAAGATGTTAGCATATGCCTTCCTGTATACCTACCTTTTTCTCTCCTTGCATTTTGCAACCTCCTGAGTTAATGCTGGTGTGTTTGCAGATTTTTGGTTAAGCCCTGGCAGCCAGGAGGCTCTATTTAGCCTTCTTTTTGTTGCTATCTTCAGCTTGGGACCCCAGTATCTAGGACCTGGAAAGAGAGAAAGAAAGAAAGAAAGACAGAGCTTAGGGATGAAGCTACAGAGATACTATTATTCTAAAAACAAAGGGATGTGGCTCAATGGTAGAGTGCTTGCTTAGTATGCATTAAGCCCTGGGTTCTATCCTCAGCACCACTAAAATTAAATAAATAAGAGAGCAAGGAGTTATTGAGAAGGACAGGCTGCCCTGAATTAACCAGCCTGCAGGTGATCTAGAAACTATATAAATATCCATTTCCTTCCAGAAAAGTTTATTTCTGGGGAAATAATGGAATTAAGGAATTAAGTTGGGTTTTAATGAGCAAATGATATTGCAAAACTGTAACGATTTTCCTTAAGATATACATGGCCACACAGGCCACTTGTGTCTGTGGTAGCTGAAGAGGGACCAAATGACTGGCCAACAAAGGGTTATTTTACCTGGAACTCACACTGTTATTCAGATTCCTTTGGTCCACCTTTTCATGGTGACCATCCATAAAAGAAAGTGATTGAAGTCAGCTGGTCTACAAAAGATCCAAATTATGCCCGAGCTTCATTAATAGCCTTTTAATCATCTTAACCATATTTAAACATAAGTAACCAGTCACTTATCAACCACAATAATAAGGCTCTTGAAACACTTTTGTGTGTGTGTGTGTGTGCGCGTGCGCGTTCGTGCTGGGGATTGAACCCAGGACTTTGTAACATGATGAGCACATGCTCTACCACGGAATTACAAACCCCCAGACACATGTTATTCTTTCCTTTATCACTGTTCTAGAGTTCTGGGGAGTTCCTTATATCAAGTGCTCAAAGTACTTAGGAGTTGAAATCCAAGTCATCCTTACAAATACTGGAAAATTAGTTGGCAGTGACTTGTCTACAGTCCTTGAAAGTCATTTCCATGTTCACAGAAATTCATTTTTAAATTTATTTTTATTTTTATTTTTTTCTGGTACTGGGGATTGAACCCAGGGGCACTTTACCACTGAACCACACACATATCCCCAGATTTTTTAAATTTTTATTTTTGAAACAGTCTTAGTAAGTTACTGAGGCTGGTCTTAAATTTGCAATCCTCCTGCTTTGGCCTTCTGAGTCACTAGGATTCCAGGCATGGGCCACCATGCCTGACTGAAAAGTCCCATATAAAATATGGAGGTATTTCTACACAGTCATGACAAGTGGGTGGAGTAAGTTGGTGTTCTCTTTTTGACATGGGAGGAAGTCATATATGCAAATACCAGACTGCTGCATCCTCTGACCTATGAATTTATTGTCACATGCTGGTGGAATGGCATCTGTCTGTGGAGTGACCAGTAAGGCAGCAGAAATGTGGCTGACCAAGTTGGAAAAAAATGAGTTCTGCCCAGAACCATAGGTGGTTAGAGCAGGAAGGGGACATGGAAATTTGAGCTCTAGCCTCAGGGATTCTGAATAAGGACCTCTATATCTTGCACAGGGGCCAAACTTTACCATGTTTATAAAAACACAGAATCCTAGGTATCCAGCACCAGAAATTTTAATCCAGTTGTTCTAGGGCAGAGCCTGTCACTGCTACACCTTTCCTAAGAACCCGAGGGGATCTTATGTTGGTGTCCAAAGACTATCACTGGATTTCCAGTCATTAAGAGCTAAGCCAGCGGGGCTGGGACTGTGGCTCAGCGGTAGAGCGCTTGTCTAGCACGTGCGAGGCCCTGGGTTAGATCCTCAGCACCACATAAACACAAATAAATAAAATAAAGGAATTGTGTCCAATTACAACTAAAATATAAATATTAAAAAAAAAGAGCTAAGCCAGGTGTGGTGGCACACATCTGTAATCCCAGCAGCTCAGGAGGCTGAGGCAGAAGGATTGTGAGTTCAAAGCCAGCTTCAGTAACTTAGTGAGGCCCTAAGCAATTTAGTGAGACCCGGTTTCAAAATAAAAAAATAAAAAGGGCTGGGGATGTGGTTCAGTGGTTAAGAGCCCCTGGTTCAATCTCCTTGGTACCAATAAACAAATAAATAAATATGTGTAAATATATAAAATATATGTGTGTATGTGCATATATATATACACACACACATACATACATATATGTTATATATCTATGTGTGTGTGTGCATATATAAACATCAATATGGAGTTTAATTGAAAGATCATACTGCCCAGACAAGCAGTCCTAGCTATCTCAGGAACTTTTTTTGACAAGAGGGAATGGTACAAAGCAGAACTGGTTGCCCTGGGATGTACCACCTCCCCGCTCTGCCTGGAACTGGTCAGGGAAAGCGTATCCATCCAATTCCTATATTCATCTAGCTATTTGTTTTAACCTTGAATTCAAGATGAAATTATGAGAAAAGTATTCCTGACTGCTTCTATATAAAAAGACAGGATGGACAGGAAGTAGATGAGCAGGGAGGAAAGTAGACTCAGCCAAGGTTAAGGTTAGGATAAGCCTCCATTTACAAAACCATCCTGAGCAAAGCCTTGCAAGAACTTGGATTCCAAGGCCTCTTTGGAGAGCTCATTTAGTTTTCTTCCACCCTCCCTTCTTTGAGGTGAGAAACAAAAGTTGCTACTTGCATTGAACCCCAAATTGGTTATTGCCTTTGAAATTCTGGCTGCTTCCTCTCTTTAATCATCAGCATCTTATTTAACTCTGTCATCTCCTGGAGTTTTAGGAGCTGGCGAGACATCCTGTGCTTGAGATTGCTCCTTGAGATAGACAGCTTACAGCTGCAGTAGCTTATCAGGAAAGAAGCCTGTTTCCTTGGGCAGAAAGCCACACCATCTCAAGAGGCTGGAAACAAATAGATGTTTCCATCTTAAAACAGGCTCCAATACATTGCCAGACACTGCTGATACTATATGTGTTTGGGAGAATCTTAGAGTGTATGTATGGGCATGTGTGTGTTTGTGCATGCAAAGATGTGCTTGTATACTCATGCACACCCATATGCACAGGAATGATTTTTTTTTTAAATTAATCTTGGTGGGGGGTAGAGAGGCACTAGAGGCCTGGACTATGTAAAAAAAATTAAAAAGAACTCATCACTTCTGGCTGAGAAGCTGATGAGTATGATTGTCTTGATTGGCAACCTCTGTCCTCTGATTACCTGATGATGAAAAGCTTCATTTTTTTTTTAATATTTATTTTTTAGGTGTAGTTGGACACAATGCCTTTATTTTATTTATTTATTTTTATGTGGTGCTGAAGATCAAACCCAGGGCCTCGCACATGCTAGGCAAGCGCTCTACAGCTGAGCTACAACCCTAGCCCCCGAAAAGCTTCATTTCTATAGAAGGAACGTTGGGGAGCTGAGGAGGACACGTGAGCCATTGTTGCAAAGTGTTGTTAGTTCTTTATTATACAAGAATTTCTGCACCGTGGATATCCTAAAAGGAATAGTAAAGGATGCTCTGATTCTTGATTTGACCTAGAGAGTATGGGTAGTTTGCCCTATTCCCCTAAAGTAAGAAGGTTGGTCCTACCAGTGCACTTTCTAGATTGTTGGAGAGTTGAGCGTTTATCAGGTAGACTGCCTCCTGCTGCTTGCCTTTTGCTCTTCACTGAGTTCATTAGCGACTTCACCAGAGGCAGCATGAGAGGATAGAACCAAATCAGCTCACTGAGGCTTCCCAATTAGTTTTGATAAATAACCCCATAGGAGGAGGGGTGGTTAAAAAAAAAAAAATCTCCAAATTTCATGTGTCACCTATGTGTATTATCTACTACTTCCCAGATAATTGAAAATAGATTGATATCTGCTCACAGTCAAAGCAAGCAGGAAACTACAGAACTCATATCCCTGGGGGGAAATGGATTTGCTTAGTTATGGAAGGAAAGGTGGCTGTCAGCAGTGTCTGCAGGGACTTTCAGCAGAAGCAACAAGAAAAGATATCAAAGAAAAGACACTAAGAAAGGAAGCGCCTGTAATGCTAGATACTTGGGAGGCTGAGCGAGGAGGATCACAATTTTGAGGCCAGCTTCAGCAACTTAGTAAGACCCTGTCTCAAAATAAAAAATAAAAATGGCTGGGAGCCAGGGGTGGTGGCGCATAACTGTAATCCCAGCAGCTTGGGAAGCTGAGACAGGAGAATCAAGAGTTCAAAACCAGTCTCAGCAAAAATGAAGCACTAAGCAATTCAGTGAGACCCTGTCTCCAAATAAAATACAAAATAGGGCTGGGGATGTGGCTCAGTGGTCAAGTGCCCTGAGTTCAATCCCTGGTACCAAAAAAAAAAAAAAAAGTTGACTGGGGATGTAGCTTAGCGGTAGAGCACCACAGGGTTAAATAGCCAGTACCAAAAAAGAAAGGATGGACCCTTTTCACCAGACTTTTTTTTTTTTTCTCTAGCACTGGGGATCAAACCCAGGGTTTTACATGGCCAGGCAAGCAATCTACCATGGAGTCACATCCCCAGTCTCTTTTAATATTACTTTAAAGTCAAAAAGAATATATATTGTTCTAAGTGGCCCTGGCCTTATAGTACATGTTCTAAATTTTGGCACTTAGGTTGTTAGTTGTGTCCACCAGCTCTTTGGTTGGTACCTGACTGGAAAGTTATGTCTTCCATATATTTACTTTATTTACAGGATCTTTTTAAAAGGAATTTTTTAAATTCCTTATGTTCCCTGTATCCTCTCCTAGAACCTAAAATAGTGTCTAGTACATAGAAAGCACCCCAAAAATACTTGCTGAATGAATAAAAGAATATTCTCACTGAATAGATGAGGAAATTGAAGTACAATGAGAATAACTATCCAGGCAACTGTGTAGTTTGTTCTCTCAAAGTTACGAGTAATAAATCAATTTGAACCAGATCAGGAGGAGGTGGTCTAAGGGTTCCTGAGAGCCTCATAGACTCTGGAGTCTTCAGGGGCTGAACTGGACACCTCTAGATTTTCCTCCCTTCCTCTTCTCTCTTCTCTGAGGTCAAGTCTTTCTTCATCTCCATCTCCATCTTACTTTCTCTGTGGATCAGCTTCCTCTGTCCCCCATGGTGGGAAACATGGCAACCAACAGCCTCTGAGTTAACAGACTA